GCTGAGAGATGTTGAATGTGTCAAATAAATTTGCAGGAGAAACAAAACCTATATGAGTGAAGCTCAAAGAAGTGCACTCAATGCTCTCCTATTCCGGACTGGTGACCAGTCCAAGGACTTAGTCCTTGCCCTTGCCACAAACCGTCCCGGGGATCTTGATTCAGCTGTGGCAGATCGTATTGATGAAGTGCTTGAATTCCCTTTGCCTGGGGAAGAGGAGCGCTTTAAGCTGCTAAAGTTGTATCTGGACAAGTACATTGCTCAGTCTGAAACAAGAAAACCTGGTTGGTTCCGTAATTTGTTCAAGAGACAACCGCAGAAGATAGAGATGAAGGGGTTGACTGATGATATGCTCAAAGAAGCAGCAGCAAAGACTGACGGATTTTCTGGGAGAGAAATAGCAAAACTAATGGCAAGTGTCCAAGCTGCGGTTTATGGGAGTGAGAATTGTGTGCTTGATCCAAGCCTATTTCGTGAAGTTGTAGACTACAAGGTCGCTGAGCATCAACAGAGAAGGAAACTGGCAGCCGGAGATAAAGGTAGCGTGTAGTGTAATGGGTGTCCAATAAGTTAACTGTTATATCATTAATTGTCGGGCAGTTTTCTTTCTGTTTAAGTAGTAAAGTGGTGGCTTAGAGAAAGGCTGACGTTTACTTTTTACCTGGAGAGAGAGAGAGAGAGAGAGAGAGAGAGAGAGAGAGAGATAAAGATGTTGGGCATGACCACATAACATATGATGTTATTCATTATTTGCCCCCTATAACTGGCGGGTTTTTGGTATTTCCTTTTCTTTATATAAATTTAATGCTGATGGTGATTGACAAGTATTCATTTCGTACTTCATAGGCGTATTCCATAGATTTGCTCAATGTTCCGTCCCCAGAATATTCAATGCTGAACTGATGACAGTTATTCTAATTGCTAAAGTGGTATTCAGAATAATTTCCATAAGATTAAAATGAAAAAGAGTAGTAACCATGTGAAATGGGAAAATATGCCAGCAGAGCAGAGAAAACTAGCTAGAAGAGGGAGACGAGTTGGCCAGTGGCCAGTGGCCAGTGGCCGGACGTAACCATGCTCTTCTTACATCCTACACGGATGTTGGGGTTCTTGGTGCTGAAAAATAGAGTAGCCATATACTTTTACAGTTGACAAAATTAGAAGGGGGCTCTCATCAACATCCAAACGCAATTAAACACTAATATGAGGACTCATGAAAGCATCTTTACAATAGCCGCATAACTCATCATAACATGTAAATCAGACAACAATAATGATGGCGCCAAAATGGGGTGCATATATGCATTCGTGCCCAAAGATCACACGACTGGCATGCCAAATCCTTATTTTACTAAATTCGGAAACACACGAGTATTCTTTTGATAAACAAACAGATAAGTAGTATTGTCATTACAAATTCAACTTGCTAATGAAATGGCTTCATTGAAGGTATGATAACAGGGATGAAACTTGCCCGTGCATTATCACTTCCAGATTTCTAGTGGTGGTGATGATCTTGAACATAGCGAAGACCACAATACTTGCAGATAGCTGGCTCATCCAGGTCTAGGCATATGAACTCAATTGGGTGCCCAAGTGCGGGATCAATGTCTGCAACCAATAACAGTTTTACCCAAGTAGATTTTACTTCTAAAGAAAGTTTATTGAGTTGATCTTGCAGTATAATCCAAAAGTAGCTTTGCTCTGGATAAATGTAAAAGATACAAGGAAAAGCATCATAAAACCTAACCTCCTTCACATGCAACGATCCTGCCCTCAACCTTGATGGGTGGAACTTCATTGATCAACTCCATGGGAGATTTCTTGCTTGTATCCTATTAATAAGAATAATAATAATAATAATAATAATAATAATAAAAGATCATTAACTTATATCTTCTAATCAATACATGACATGGTAACCAACTGGGTTTCTAATGTTGGAAATAGACACCAAGAAAGAGTAAGACACTTAATGTGCATAGTAAAACACTGAGGCAAAAGCTTGTGGAAAGGGCACACAAACAAACATTAGATTCTCTAACATAGAACACGGTCATTGCTCTAAAAGGAAGCTGACAATACGAATACCATTGAATTGCTCTGAAACTAAGCTGACAACATGAATTCCATTGAAAAGCGAAACAAGGTCTTCGTCAAGGACAAAATGCTGAGAACTTCATCAATGTTTTCATTGAAATGCAGGAAGGATATACACACTGTTACAGTTGTTCCCACAGTGTACTATAGTTGGCATATGCACCTGGGAATCTGTGTTCAATTACTGCTAAATTCATACGCTGGCTCCCCACTTTATTGCAATGATAGTAAACAAGGTCATGGGAATAATGGGGACTGGACGCTCTATACGCACCAGCATTCAGTTTTTGCTTTAAAGCTTTTCGGCATTGGTCGAGGAAACTAGACATATGTATTATAGCGTCCAAGGGTTAGTTCAGCAATCTTATTCTATGGCACAAAGGAAAAAGGATAGCAGAAATTCTGATAAAAAGCCATCTTAAGCATTTGAGAAAAAGGGCAACCATTCTATGCAAGTAAAACATATATTTGCACAGAGTTTTGAATTAAGAACACACAAAAACTACACAATACTGAACAAAATCAGTATCTTTATTATCTATTGACACATCCTCGCCGATAAGCTATGATGTTAATTTTTTTTTTAATCAAACACAATTCTTTCTTCCTTTCTTCACTGAAAGAGTAGATTTGAAAAGAGAAAAATAGATTCCCACTGCAGATGAATGGAAATGATCGTAATAATCAAGAGAATAATGAGTAAGATCATGTTAATGTCAATCAATTAGGTAAACTTAGAAGGGAACCTGCATCCATTTGGCGGTGTGGTTGCTGATTTGACTCCTGACGAGGCTGAAATTTCTGGTCCCCGCTGATCCCAATTTGGACGATCTGATTAGGGTTCTAAATAGACTGGACGCCATTGCTGGGTGCTGATTGCTCACACTCACGCTGAGAGAGCCGAGAAAATGGAAGAGAAGGAGCTACAGGTGAAGAATCAGTTTGATTTGAAGGCCCATATATTCAAAGACACTGGCCCATGTTATATATGTGGGTCTTGACTTCAAAACACACTACATAAGGTGAATGTCGTTTATTAAGTGCGTCATGTCGCATACTCTCAATTTCTCATTTCACAACGCCGCTCTCTCTGGTTGATAGTTGATGATGCATGCAATTTCCAACCCAATAATGCAATAAGATTCACACACACATGACCTCATTACAACGCTTCATGATTCGGAGTTGCAGAATTCAAGGACCCAACAACACCGCCATTTCATTTGCAGACCATCTTCTCAACCGAAGCTTCTTCACTACAAGTATTGTAAATTTGGATGCCCAATTCAATCTCCAAGCTTCAACAACTAGCCAAGACGACCCAGCAAAAATAATTGCAACCCAGTTGTCAAATTGCACTACCTTACAAGAATTGAATCAAATTTATGCACATGTTATTAGAACCCACTTGTTACAGCTTTACCCCGCCCCATTTCACTGGAACAACATTATAAGGTCATACACTCGACGAGATGCTCCAACCAAGGCACTCTTTGTTTACCTTGCTATGTCTCGTTCCGGTGTTTTGCCTGATTGCTACACCCTCCCCATTATTTTGAAAGCCCTCTGTCAACTTTTTGCTGTAGAGGTTGGTAGGCAGCTTCATTCCGTCGCTCTAAGGCTGGGCCTTGACTCCAATGAGTACTGTGAGAGCGGGTTTATAAACTTGTACTCCAAGGCGGGAGAATTTGAAAATGCACGCAACATGTTTGAGCAAAACCCCGAGAGAAAGTTGGGTTCTTGGAATGCCATCATTGGAGGCCTTTCACAAGGTGGGCGTGCAAAGGAGGCGATAGACACCTTCATGGAGCTCAGGAAATGTGGGTTCTTGCCGGATGATGTGACCATGGTTAGTATCACATCAGCTTGCGGTAGTTTAAGTGACTTAGGCTTGGCTCTTCAATTGCATAAATGTGTTTACCAAGCTAAAAACGTGGATAAATCGGATGCGTTGATGTTAAATTCGCTTATAGACATGTATGGGAAATGTGGGAGAATGGACTTGGCTTATAGGGTGTTTTCAAGGATGGAGCAACAAAACGTATCGTCGTGGACATCTATGATCGTGGGTTATGCGATGCATGGGCACGTGAATGAAGCACTTGAATGCTTTCAGTGCATGAGAGAGGCAGGAGTGAGACCTAATCATGTGACCTTCGTTGGGGTACTCAGTGCATGTGTTCATGGTGGGACTGTGCAAGAGGGGGAATTTTACTTCGACATGATGAAGAATACATACGGGATAAAGCCCCACTTGCAGCATTATGGATGCGTGGTGGATCTTCTTGGCAGAGCGGGATTGCTCGAGGAGGCGAGAAAAATGGTTGAGGAGATGCCAATGAAGGCAAACTCGGTAGTCTGGGGCTGCCTGATGGGTGCCTGTGAGAAACACGGGAACGTTAAGATGGGGGAGTGGGTGGCTAAGCATTTGCAAGAATTAGAGCCTTGGAATGATGGGGCTTATGTTGTTTTGTCCAATATATATGCCAGTAGAGGTTTATGGAAAGAGGTTGAGCGGGTACGATTGATTATGTATCAGAGAAAACTCGCTAAGGCTCCTGGTTATAGCTTGTCAACAAGTGCAGATTGACATTCGTGTATCATAAGTGTGCCTGGCATTTTACAAGAATGAGCTAACATAAATGCAATTCTTTTTACGCCTCTGCAGTGGCTGCACGACAGTCCCAAAGAGCTGTTGAAGGAGCAATTTTTTTTTCCCCAGAACCGGAGTTGTTCATCAGTTATTCAAGTGTAGAAAGAAATAAAATTATTCCAAATGTAGAAAGAACACGAGTTTTAATGTTTAAGAAGAGCTTAATATCTCGAATTAATTTAATGATCCCAGATTTATGCCATAGTACAGAAAATCCTGTGACTGGCAAAGTGGGAAAATTTTCTCATGAAAGAAAACCATCTACAACTTCCTATAACCATGTACAATAAAATTATTGTTTATTCAACATCCAAAGAAAAGAATGCTGTACATGTTCCCTAATTGACCAAGCTGCTACAACATCTTGAATAATTATGGTTTGTCAAGATAACCACAAGGTGAAATGTCCTAATGAACATGAACTTTTGTACAGCCTACAAAATGAAGATATAAAGTTAGTACAAAAGAACTAACAAGGTTGTGATCTATTCTTCATATTCTTGACCATTTCCTGAAATCAGTTACCTCCATATATTAAGGATGCCAAGTAATGTTGCTCAACTAATGTTAGACTTTCATATCCATTGACCATGATTCAAGCCAGCAGAAACAGTCTCCATGTGTCAGACTATGACCCACCGAGCCTCTAACCATTGAGCATAAGCATTTCATGTTCGACAGATTTGTTCAGTCACTAATTTCAAGTCAAAAATCAGCCGACGAGCTTTTTCCCACTCAATCAACGGAAGACTGCAACAAGTCTCGACCCACCATCCTGTTATGCCAGTATGCAACCTCGTAATGTTTGTTGATCATTGGTCTTGAAGATGTGTATTCAGCATCCCTCACAAATTCAATTATTGGTACACCCGAGATATGTTCGTCACTGGCAATACAATTACTAGGGATCACCCTATCCCTCTGTCATCAGTATGCAGTACATAACATCCCATAACTAAATCGGTTCTGAAATGGGGCTTTTAGCTTTTAGCTTGGATCCAACTTCTAGGTTCTCCAGAAATGAAATACCCAAATTACTCATGGAATGCAAAACATTTTCAGCTTCTAGTCCCTTTCCCACAGATTTATAAAAATGCACCGCTGCGCTCAAAATAAACCTGTCTGCCTCTACAGACTCACTTATCTGTTCAAAAAACTTGATGCCTTCTTCCACATGTCCATAGTCCATGTAACCTCTCAGCATAGTCTGATAACATGCCATGTCAGGGTTTAAACCAGCTCCAAGTAGTTTCTCATAAATTCTTTCCGCTTCCCCTATCAATCCCATTTTGGAAAAAACAGAGAGTAAAAGGTTAAAATGAGCACAGGAACGATAGACACCATTTTCCGGCATAGAATTAATGGTTTCCTCTGCTTCTGTGTATTTCAGACTCTCTGTGTACGCTCGAACTAGGGATAGGTAGGTGAAGGAGTCAGGTGAGCAACCATCTTGCTGCATGGCTTTGAATAATTCCTCTGCTTCCTTATAAAGCCCCCCAGCAGCATATACATTGATCATTATATTATAACTGACCTGATTTTCACATAAAAGACAAGGGATTACACTTATATACACACTTCCGAAGCACATACCATATAATGATGAAAATCAATTCATAAGAAATGTAATCTTTTTCAACCACCAGGTTGCTCGGGATAAGCCATACTGTTGCACCAAGGCGTATCCTCATGATTTCTTTATTGAGCAATTTGTCAAAATAACTCTATTTATCTCTTTAAGTTTTAACATAACCTCACTTATGCATACCATCCCAGGTTTTATCCCTTGTTCCCTCATTTTGGTAAATAGCATGGATGCTTCCTGCCTTTTTCCTACAAAACAGACGCATTGAAGTTAGGGAGATTTACAAATTACAAGCAACGAAGAAATCCGATAGCTGAAGATGCTACAAGATATCCACTAGAAAGTGAAGAAGTTACCTTCCATATATAGGTATAAATGCAAATTAAATACATTAACTGCTGCATAGAGCATTTAATATTATATAACATTCCATTAGCACCAATGAACTGTATAAACTGTCACGAGTGGCCAAATATAAGATACAGAAATGTTTCAAAAATTCATGGATGTTCTTTGTCACCCTGAACTAAGCCAACATAGCAAAACTGTGGAACATCATTCAAAAAATTTGTGTGACAATATTTAGATTTGTTTTACTAAATGGAGGGAGATTTAGAACAATACCAGCTTTCCCACAGTAACTAATGAGATTCATATATGCCTTCTCATCCAGAGACAAACCCAAGCTGCGAGCAGTATTGAACATCTCTACAGCCCTTTCCAGCTTTCGACCTCGACCGTAAACACTGCACCCATAGTTCGTCAATACGAACAGCATTCAATATATCTTTTTCACTTATTTCACAAACAGAAAGAAGTATACCAAGCTCTTACCTGATCATGGTGCTGTATGTCTGAATCGATGGAACAACCCCCTCAGAAAGCATGCACTCATAGATACTGGATGCAAAACGCAATCTACCTGCAGCATGAAATGTACCAAGTTATTGTAAGCTTTCTTCTACTCATCTGTATTCACTAATCATTGGAGTGGCCCATATGAACCTGCTTCCAGCATAGCCTTAATGAAAGTATTGTATGCCACGGTATCTAGCTCCACGTGGTGTTCCAGGCTTTTGCGGATGACATTCTCTGCTTCTCTATGTTCTCCTGGAGATGAATTCTTATTAATTAACATTGGTGCAAGGAAAGTTATTTGACAAACTTAAAGAAATGATTGGTATGGCGGCTTTGTGAGTGCAGCTGAGATGTGGTGTCCTATTGCATTCTGAATAGCACAAAATTATTTGGGACGTTGAAAAGCTTGGTGAAGTATGATATGTTTATAAGATGGCGAAAATGAAAATTGGCGGCTCTATTATCTGATAATCTACAATCTTTGCTAGTCTAATTAAGGTTTCCAAACTGATACCACTGTTAGTCAAAACATTGACAACTATGCTGATGGCAACAGCATCCAGATCATGCCCTTCCTCTGAAAGTTGTTTGTAAAGTGAGTATGCCTCCTGTGGTTTACCACATTTGGCATATGCATCAAGCATTGAGTTGCACAGTAACTTTTTAGCCAAAGGAGAATCTGCAAATGCTGTAAATATTTCCAAGGCCTTTTTCAGGTTGTGTTTCTTTCCATATAAACTAATCAAAGAACCAATTGTGGCATCATCCACTCTGCAGCCAAGCTTGACCAAATGATTGATATGAGTTTCTGCTTTAAATGCATCACCTGCACGGAAATCAATGTCAAAACTGTTCCATTTCTTCAGAGGCATGGTTTAAGAATATCAAGAAAAAATTTACTCAGGTGAGTTGCATAAATAAGTATAATGTTTTACTGACAAATCGATAGCATGTACGTTGCTTGCCTTCTCTAATAAAGTTCTTAATGAGCTGACTCGCAATTGATAAGCCACTAGAAGCCTCAAGTAATGATGCTAGAACTTTTTCTGTCTCACTGATATTGCCATCTGCCAGATAGAGACTGAGCACCAGTCCAAGGGCCACAGTGTCATGCTGGTCAAAGGTCACAAATTTCCCTTCCTTATGTTCACACATAGCCCAAGAAATTGTCTGGATGAATCTACTATCCTGGTATAATCCATTTGCACCCAGCTCTCCTACAAACTTTTCAGCATCTCTAAGCATTCCCTCCTTGCAATATACTCTCATAACTGTCCTGCAAAGCTCCTCGTCCAAATCTACCCGGTCTCTTCTTATCTGGGCAATAAAATCCTTAGCCTTTTCGATTAAGTCCAGTCTTATATACAAATTGAGCATATCATTACAAGAGCCTGCATCAGGGAGTCCAGTCTTGGATAGAGCCTGAAATGTTACTTCAGCAGAACTCAGATCTTCCTTCATAACATAACACTGCAATAAGACAATATAAGCAAATCTTGAGAGCCAAATGTTTTTTCTAGACTTCATTAGTTCAATAACTTCTAAAGCTTTCTCGCAATTCCCTGAATTGAGATGGACTTGTGTCATTGCTAAATATGTTTTCTGATCACTAAGTAGACCCAGCTGCTCCATCTCGGTAAATGCTGTCTGAGCGTCCTCATAAAGACCAAGTTTTCCATATATTCTAATGAGCAAACCATAGATGACCTCATCAGCTGCAATTTTCTTCCTTTCCATTTCTGAAAAAAGAGAAAGGGCTTTGGAATAATCCTCTGTCTTGTAATACAATGTCAGAAGTGAAGCACAGGTGTAGTTGCTCGGGACTATTCCTAGAGAGCTCATGTCTTCATATAGTCTTAGTGCTTCGTTATATTTGCCACTTTTGGTGCTTAAACTGATGAGCAAACTATAAGTTGCCTCCTCAGGAACAAATCCAGCATTCTTCAACTCAATGAAATTCTTGAGAGCCTCATCATGGAGGCCTTCTTTGACGAGTGAGCAAATTACTACTGTATAAGTAAATTTATTAGGTACCACTCCTATGTCCACCATCTGCCTCCAAATTTCTATGACCTTTCCGTGGAGTGATTTCTTCTGCAAGGAGGACAACATGAAATTATAAACAGCAACAGAAAGCAGAATCTCCCTTTCCTGCACCGCTGAATAAAACGCCAGCATAGCCTTGTGACGTCCCCATCTGGCATATGTACAGAGCATGGTGCCACAAGCAACTTCATCAGGTTCACATCCAGATTCAAGCATCTCCAAGAAGGTTTGCTCAGCCAGCTTGATCTTCCCAACTTGGCCATATACACGCAAAACGATTGTGTAGACAATAACACTTGGGCGGTAGCTTAACTGTTGAAGCACAAGGTCGTCTATCAATCATCACACATAGTATACACAGTAACGTATTAATCTCACATACTATAACTACACTTAGGAGTAAGGAAGAAGAAAAGCAGAGCAACACGAAAATTCAGAGTCTGTAGACTCTTTACCGTGAAAAGCACATATTTTTTTATTTATTTCTCTATTGAAAATTCACAAAAATCCACATGAAGTTGGAAAATTGATAACAAAAAGAAATGAGTAAACGTAGTAGTAATTAAATTAAATTAAAATAGAATGAAATGAAATGAGAGAGAGAGAGAGAGAGATGAGAAAAGCAGGAAACCTGCAATTTCATCCAAGAAAATAAGTCCCTGACTTGCCTCCAGCCCTTTTGCTCCTTGAGCACCACACACATTTCTCTAAAGCTGAGCTTCCCAACAAAGGAGGCCATGACGGTGCGCATGTCGTACTGTCCCTCGGCCTTCTCGGACAGCGCCCTGACGTGCTTGATGGCGGCCACCACGTGGCGACCGTAGAGATGGCCGTTCCTGTCGTCCTGCAAGTAGCTGACCATCTGCTCGGGGGTCCTCTTAATCCATTTGGGGGTGTGGGCTTGTGGGCCCTGGTTCCTGCGGAGGGCGCTGAGGTAGTTGGCCTTGGCCTTGATGATGCGGCGGGCGTTGTCGTCGGAGAGGGGCTTCTTGGGGTTCTTGGACTTGGGTTTCGGGCGGTCCGGGTGGTTACCGTCGCTGAGAGACCAGGGGTCTGGTCTCACTGAGGAGGAGGACGGCTTTACTATGATATTCATATTGACATTGGTGGTCGTTTTAGGTTTCGTCGAGGTCGAGGTTAAGGATTTTAAGGCGGTGGTATTGGATTGGGAACAGTGGGAAGAGAGCAGTGGATTAGTAGTGCACAGGAAGGACGAGGAGTACGTTAGTGACTCCATTTCCGCGGGAAAAGCAGCACAAGAACCAACCGCTGCGACTCTACTCTCTGACTAGAGAGAGAGAGAGAGAGACAGAGAGACAGAGAGAGACAGTAGAGACGGAGAGGGGATAATATTAGTTGTTTAATTATTTCTCTTAATATCAGCCCGTACTTAATCCGAAATCGTAATCGTTTCGTAAGTTTAATTTCACCTCCCGTACTTAATATCGCATCGCATGAATATATGTATGTATAAAAATAAAAAAATATCAGTACAGTATTTGCGTCGTCTGTTCAGTTGAACTTCATTCTTGAGACAGAGAGAGAGAGAGAGAGAGAGAGAGTGTCACGTCGTATGTTTATCTTTCTAACTAAACTGTTTGTTTGATTGTTCTTTTTTTAAGTTCAAGAATTGGTTTGGCTGAAAATGGAAAAACGTAAACGAAAACCCGGCAGGACGCCCATCATTAGTCGTCATCTGGAAACCACCATATCATATGAATATGTGGGGACTCTCAAAACAAAACAGGAAAACAATCAAACGCTGGTAGTGGAAGACAATAGTGACTGACAGACAGAAAATAAGCAATAATTGGCAAAATGCAAGACGCCGTACAGAAGAAACTGTCGAATTCATTGTATGATTCTATTTGTAGTTGGACAATTCTCTTCACACTACATAATCCACTTTGATTTCTACTACAACGGAGGCCCCTATAAACCGTAAAGTCAAAAAAAGAATTGGATGAAAATTACAATAGCACATATTGGACATGCACAGCAAAACATTTGAAATAGCAAACCTCCTCCCCCAAGTATCAAAGCAACCAACAAGACTCATCTGCTTATAACCTAAACTACATCCAACTTACGACAATATCTAATGACGGACGGTAAACATGAGGTGAGGGACCTATTAACTTCCGGCAAACTACTCTCCACAATATACACATGCTAACATTATTGTCCGTGGTGCTCATGCTTCACACGTGCTTTTAGTATTCCGGGAATAGGCGGCGAGGTGGGAGGCCTAACTGGTGTGTTTAACAGTGAAGGAAGAGGGATCTGTGGCTGATACATGCCTGACATGCTACAACCTTCTCCTCCATCTGCAGTTAAATTTTGTGTCCCGTCATCAGCCTGTGGCCTTTCACAAAATTTCATTGCCTTCAAAACATAATTGTCATCATGGAGCTCAAATGGGGTGCTGCAAGCAAAATCAAAAGATCAGAAAAAGGTTGAAACCAATTTTTTTTTAAGTTTTGGAGAAATTATGATCCAAAAATTGCTTATTGAGCTATCACACAGAGTTGATCACATTAACAGCCCCTTTGGACTCAAGTATTGTACTACTAGTGGCTACTATCTCTACTTGTGTCCCCAGCAGACAATGGTGTAAAGATGTTACTACCAACTATCATGTCGCTCAACATAAGAATGAAAGTTACCTATTGAAGTCAAAATGCACCAGCTGCATATCTTCTGATATTTCCACCTCAACAGTTGCATGAGGGCGAGTCTATGGTATCCGCATGTCAGGAACAACAGAGGTAACAAAGAATCAGATAACAATAAACTGGCCAAAAGGAACCCTGAAAGAAAACTAATCATGTAAAGCTGATCATATGCTTCTTGTTATATAGAAAGGGGTTGAAAGATGGCTGTTAGTTGCTATACAATGCAGTAGTAACTTATATCTTGTATCCAGCAGAAGGTCTACATGTCTCATATCACAAATCATACATAATTTATTTCTCGAGTCAAGCTGAATAACAAGTGTCCCCGGCACCAACCAAATCATACCAACCCTTCAAATACAAACCGTTTTATTTTCATGCATCGTAACTTTAAAGAGTACTGTATTCTAATCTGTTTCTCAGAATGCACAGATGCAAGGGAAACATTGAGAAGAAAACGTACCTGCACAAGAATGAAAGGTAAAGCCACACCCCCGCTGAGCGCATCTCCAGAGTGGTATAATTGCTCATTCCGTTGTATCAGGTTTTGAAGGCCTACGTACTGATAAAAGAGAAAAGAAGTTAATGTATGCAGACACTGATCATGAGCATGGCATCATGTTCAGACATGTTTTCCCTGAACTATACTAGATTATTAATAATTAATAATTATAGTCCTCAAATCAAGCACATGCAAAAACCTAAACCGTGCCAAAGTTATGTAGCATGGATTAATAGACAATAGCTATTCATACTTGTTCCTCCAGCTCTTGCAGATATGACGCTTTCTTTTCAATCCTATTCCTCAGTCCCAGGCGCTCAGTCTGCATTTAATACATGTATAACTAGTTGTATAAGCTCAAAACTGGTCCAGGAATCCACTTAATATACAACACATAAAATATGAACTGTAATCAGACCTTCAGTTCTTCAATATCATTCAGGCTTGTACGAGGCAAACCCTTCCATTGTATTTCTTTTTTATCTTTGGATATAATATCCATTGCCATAAGAACATTCAGGGCATCATATACTCTTCGCCTGATGTTTTTCTCGTCATATTGTTGCTGCCAAATAAAATTCAACACAAAGAAAAAAGGATTTTATTAGCAAGTTCCATTCCAATTTTTCCCAGAAGACTGCAGATATATCAGCCTAGTTATCAAACCTGATCAGGGGATGTAACACCATTGCTAGGGTCAGCGAACTCTGCTACAAGTTCATCCGCAACCTGGATAGTACTTTAAACTCTTAGGTTTACGACTATAATTAAAATTGGTTGGTGAACCATGAAAAATGAAATATGATAAACACTTCAACAAGAAAATAGTGATAAAAAAGGGCCAAAGGAACAGTTGTTTACATGCAGATCTTGAGAAACGCTATTTTCTGATCTGTTGCATTTAAACCACATCACAACACTCTTATAATGCTAACACACTGCCTAATGAGTCCCCTTGCTCCAACTTTATCACCATTATTCCGAAAACAAGCATTTGATAAATTACTCCCACGAAAAAACAACATGGCTTTTAAATGATGTTGACACTTAAAGTGACCTCTGAGATTATACCATCCTCGGTAGCAATAAGGTCATGCATTTGAACCAAGGACTTCACAAAAATTAGAACTTGGAATAAGAACAAGAAATACAAACAATAAAAGTGACTTCAAGAAACCACCTAACCTCATTATAGGTGGTTCTTCCCTTGCTCTCCACTTTCTCGCACACTGAGCACAAGCAACAAAGAATCAACATATAATCAGAGGAGCAAGTATAGGGGCATGAACAGAACAAATAACGGTGTCCATCCAAGAGAGCACAAGCCAAAATTCATTATAAAGAATACAATGCTCACTTAAAACAATTCATAGGTTGCAAAAATAAACCACCTTTTTGGAAGAAAAAATACAATGTAAATGTAAATAAGGTAAGATTAGACAGCGTTCAATACAAAACCTTTCATGCTAAATTGGCGTAGTCCTCTTCCACTCTTATCGCCTGCTACAGCCCGTTGACCTCTCTTTTTCTTCTTGCTACTGTTTAAAGCAATAATCATTTAGGAAGATTAAAGAAATTAAAGAAGTGCTGTGAAAGAATAAGGGCCAAATTCTTGTTCGCTAGAATCAACCTCCATTGTCAAACAAAAGTTGTACAAAAATGATGTGCACCATTATGATTAAAAAGGTGCAGTTAAACCATAACTTAGCAGCATAAAGTAGAGTGCTTGTTAACTCAATCTATTGGTGATGAATAAGCCGAAATCAGAACGTTGAAACTAAACAATGTGGATGAATTACGTGCACATAGATAAATGTATGTAGATATGAATATAAACAGAGGGCTCAAATAAAACTATGAAATATACAACCCAAATAAAAGGCATGACAAATTTCGTGCCCTAAGGTCTGAATGAGAAAGCGAGAAGCAAAATCAGGAAAATAGGAAGGCAAAGAAAACAAAGGGTGGGGGGTTGATTAGGGAAGAGATGAGTGACTAACCCAACGGCGCCTTGGGAGCCAGCATCGTCGCCGTGAACGTCGGGATGGTTCAATCTGAGAAAATTGGTGTCGCCGGCGGGTGTGGCCATGGTCTGCTCACTGCGGCTGGATGGAGAGCCCACGCTGCCGCTCATGGACACCGACTGACCCGCCATGTCGTCGTCGACGTCTGCTCGCTCTCGGCTCGGTTGCTGGGACCTTGTCCCCATCCTAATTCCTACCGCACCACAATCTGTAACAATCTGTCTTAACCTGTATTGTGTAGGGGACCAAAACAATCTTTTTGCTTCAAATTGATTCTTGGAGTTGATTGAATTCAGCTCAACTGAGAGTCTTTGCAGTTTTTGCCTGTTTCTCTTGATCCTTGTTCAAACCTCTTTACAACTTTACAACAAGAGGAAGAAGGAAGAAGAAAGTGAATTCTTCAATCAGTCCCAGTCCAAAGATACCCCTAACCACATGCCCAACTAAACTCTACTATATGTAATTTTCTTTTTCTTTTTTCTTTTGCCTCGTTTTTATTTTATTTTTTTATAACAATTATTCTCTATTAAAACTTAAAAAGAAAAAGTTCAATGCTAAATTTTTCTGTATTTTTAGTTTTTTACTCACTAATCAGTAAAATAATAATAACAAAATTTTAGTAGATAAGACGCTTTATTTCCAAAATTTAAAAAGAAAAGAAAATAATTAAAGTAAAAAAGAAAAAGAGTAACCGAATACATCTATGGTGCTGATTCTCTCTGCCAAAGATATACCTACCAACACCAAAACGTTAACATCTTAATTCGAATAAATGTTTGCAGAGAGGCAGGTGATTAATTGTTAAGGGCTTATTTATGTACATACCCCCTGTGCTTTCAAATTTGTCTCAAATTACCACCTGTACTTTGAAACGTCTCAAAATACCCCATACATTTTTAAAAACGGTCTCACGTTACCCGTTCCGTCAATATTATAAACGTTCCGTTACGTGATTTGGGCCCCACTTCGTTTCAATCTCTTAACATTGGAGAATAAGGGTTTTCGAGTTTCAGAAGAGGGGAAATGGGGTATTTGGGTGAGAAGGAAATTTGGAGAAGAAGGCTAAGACTTATCAAAATCTAAGATGGGTTCTATTGTGGGAGAATCTGGAAAAGTGTCTTCCCCCAGACGATTTCATCCGCAGTATCAGAAAAGGACAATGGCTTAAAACAGAATCTCATGGTTACAGGTAGGGATGGCAAAAATCCCCGCGGGGACGGGTCCCCGACCCTAACGGGGGGAGATTTCGGGGCCAAACGGGTATCGGGTACGGGGATCCCCGAACTTGAAAAATCCCCGACGGGTATGGGGAGGGGATGGTATTGGCGTCCCCATCCCCGAACCCGACCCGAAAATATATATGTTTATATTTCAATAAATAAATATATAATTATAATATTTATGTTTAACCCTAAGTTAACCTCCCTCTCCTAATTCTTCCTAATCTTCTCTGGATTTTCATATTGATGTGATTTTGAATAGTTGAGTTGAACTTTATAGTTAATTTGAATGTGTTGAATGATAATTTAATATAAAACTTAATGTTAAAATGTATGATAATATTTTTTATGCAAAAAAATCGGGGATTCGGGCCGGGTATGGGGGATAGTCCCCCGACGGGGACGGGGACGGGGACGGGGATTCCCCGAAACCTATTAAACGGGGATTGGTTCGGGGATGGGGGCGGGAATGGAGAGCGGGGACGGGGATGGTATTGTCATACCCGGCCCCTACCCGGCCCGTTGCCATCCCTAGTTACAGGTCTCCAGATGGATCTGTCTTGTTTGACCAAGAGTGGATAATTGCATCCAAAATTAGTGACATTCCCTTCATTGATCAGGAGGTATACGGTGAAGAAATCCTTGATTTCAAAACAGAACTTGAGTTGCTTGGTGTGGTTGTCTCGTTCAACAAAAATTACCAGCTTGTTGTCGACCACCTAAAGTCATCGTCATGCTTAACTTCTCTGACACCTGAGGCTGTTCTACTAATGCTGCAAATTATGCACATTTCAATTTCATCCAATAAGATTGTCGAAGCACTGAGAGGAAAAAAAATGCCCGAAGACAAATAATGGTTACAAGTCTCCAAGTGAATGTCGCTTGTTTCACCCTGAATGGGGTTGCCTTCTTCAGGTCTTTAGTGGTGTCCCATTGATTGATCATAATTTGTATGGAACCATCATGAGTTGAGAAAGATAGGGGTGGTCGTTGATTTTGAAGAGGCTGCAAAAGTATTTGCTCACCATTTCCAGCAGGCTTTCATCATCAAAGAAAATGTTTTATCATTTCTGTCATGTTACAGAAAGATGGAGGGAACTCCTTTTAAATTTCATGCTGATCTTAAGAGCTGCATTTGCGAAGAAAAGTGGCTGCGTACTCACCTTAGTGATTATAGATCTCCAAGAGAGTGCATTCTGTTTTGTTCTGATTGGGAATCTATCTCTCCCATATGCCTTCTCCCTTTTATTGACGATTCTGACACTTGTTATGGCAAGAGCATTCATGAATATAAGCAAAAGCTGAAGAGCTTGGGGGTTGTTGTGGAATTCAAGAATGGGGTCAAGTTTGTGCCTTCTTGTCTTTATCTTCCCCAGAATCCGATTAGCATTTCTCAAGAAAATGCACTTGCTTTGCTAGACTGCATACATGTTTTATTGCAGGAGAAAGATAACTCCTTTCCTGATGTGTTCCTGAAGAAAGTTTCTCAGGCATGGCTGAAGACTCATGATGGTTACAGGCCTACGAGCAAGTGCTTGTTGTTTGATTCCAAGTTTGGTGAGTATCTAAAGCAGACTAATGGCCCTTTCATTGATGAAGAATTTTATGATTATGAAATTACAACATACAGAGAAAAGCTCTGTGCAATAAAGGTGATTGTTGAAGTGGACAAAGGATGTCCCTTGATTGCCAGCCAGCTTGCTCGTCATGACGAATTGTCCACTTTTGTTCGAGTATATAGTTAGTTGAGTGAGTTTAAGTGGGAGCCGAATAGCAAGGCTGACAAAAAGATCGAAAGGAAAATCAGAATGGAGAGTGGGTTAATCCAGAAGAGTGTGTTTTATAAGGATAAGCTGTTTGGCATGCAGTTGACTGTTCTGGAGAAACACTTTGAGCATAACCTACTCGGGCTCTTCTCTAGTGCTTACAAGGTAAAGTCCCGTCCGTCAATTGATGAGTACTGCAAGCTCTGGAAGACACTTCTCCAGATTCTCCCACAATCGAACCCCGCCTCAGATTTTGATAAGCCCTAACCTTCTTCTCCAAATTTCCCCTTCTCACCCAAATACCCCCTTTCCCCTCTTCTGAAACTTGAAAACCCTAATTCTCCAATATTAAGAGATTGAAACGAAATGGGGCTTAAAGTACGTAACGGAACGTTTATAATATTGACGGAACGGGTAACGTGAGACTGTTTTTAAAAGTATATGGGGTATTTTGAGACATTTCAAAGTACATGTGGTAATCTGAGACAAGTTTGAAAGAATAGGGGGCATGTACATAAATAAGCCATTGTTAATTCCCGCGTGCCAAGTGCATTAAGACATTAATTAACAAAGTAGCGTAGGTCGAGTTCCGTTAGCCCAAAAAAAGGAGCGTAGTTGAGTCCCGGCCGCCAAAACGACAGCGTAAAAAGGAACTACTGAAAACTGCTTATCTCGATGGCTGGGTCCACCTCGACCGGCGGGAGCGGCCCGTCGAATCCTCCCAAAATCCTACTAGCAAAGCCGGGAGTGGTGACGGGGGCTCCGGTGGCGGGTAAATTCGGCCGCGGCGGTACTGGGGATGAGTATACGACGTCGCTTCGGTCCCGTCTCCCTTCTTCTATCGGATCCCTCAACCTCCTCTCTGATTCCTGGGACTTCCACATAGACCGCTTCCTCCCGGTAACAATGAAACCAATTTCACATTCTCATAAATAAAAAAGTCGACTCTTTGTTCATTATATATTATTGGTATTTATGAATTTACAGCGAGTTGTGGCTGAAATTGCAGTTTTTGACTGAGAACACGGAGTTTACGGTGGTGGGGGTGATTGGTCCGCCTGGGGTGGGCAAGTCCACGATTATGAACGAGCTTTATGGCTTCGATGCGACCTCACCTGGTACTTCTCACTCTCCTTCTATTTCCTAATGTCTTTGCTTTTGGTGCTCTGCTTTGTGTATGTTTTTTTGTTTCTCTGAAACTGCATTTTGATATTGATAAAAGAAATTGAATTGCAGGAATGTTACCCCCATTTGCTATAGAGACGGAAGAGGGTAAAGCCATGGCAAGGCATTGTAGCATGGGCATTGAACCCAGGGTTTCTGCTGAACGCCTTATACTTCTTGATACCCAGGTTCTTCCTCTTTTTATACCTAGCTTGTTCTAGTCTAGAATTCAATCTGAAATATCGTATTTATGTAAATGAGTTACTGAGTATGATCAAGTCTCCTCTTTTCACTGCCAGCCTGTTTTTAGCCCTTCTGTTTTAGCTGAGATGATGAGACCGGATGGCTCGTCCACCGTTCCTGTTCTAACTACTGCTGAATCTTTATCTGCTGAGTTAGCTCATGAACTTATGGGTATTCAGGTAACTACAAACACAAAATAATAGAGATCTTATGTATTTATTCGTTATAGGATGGACGTTTAATCAACTTATCCTTTTATTTTCTGGGTGCTGCAAGCAATTCTTCTAGCTTGGTGTTCTTCTGACCTCCATCTGTCACATTTTGCTGGTTATATCAGAGGGAGTTCATGATCATAGTACGTGGCGTTTGATGTCCACGGTATTTTCTGTCATCTTCATTATGACTTGTTACATTTCAATCTGTTTTTTAATACAATTATTTCCAAGCAAGTTGTTTCTGTTAGATCCACCTTTTAATTTTCTTCACTCACTTCCTAATTTTCATTTGAAACTTTCTGATACTCCAATATTTATTTCACTGTAAAGAAATCCTTCATCCTGTATTAATTGAATGTAATCTGCATGCGGAAGCTTTGAAACCACGTTCCCTCAAAGTTCTAAGTTGTCATGTTGGTTTCTTCTGTTTTTTCTCTTTCAATTATAAGAAATTTCATAAAATCCGTGCATGACATTTTCTGAGCCCTGGGATTATGTTTTCCGACTGCAGGTTGACCTATTGAAACATGGCATACCTGATCCATCTTCACCAACCCTTTCCAATTCTCTGAGCTCTAATATAGGGCCTGAAAAAGATAGCAGAGATAAAGCTCATGAAGGTGGAGAATATATGGCTACGCCAGTTTTTGTGCACACCAAGTGAGTAAACTTTAAATACTGTTCCTCTTGAATTAAAGTGACAATGTAATAATACAAGATTGTGTTCTTACTGTTAATAGACTACGGGACCATGATCTTAGTCCACATAATATTGTGCAACTGAGGAAGGCACTTGCACAATATGTCAGCACCTCTTCTTTCATGAGACCAGAAAATGGAAATATGTCCACAAGTCGTGATCCAGATTCTATGGCTCCTGGTACTCAAAGTCGCCATCCAGATTCTTTAGTGCCAAGTTTGTTTGTAATCCCAAAAAAGAATAAAGAGGACTCCCCGGGAGATCAGTATGAAAGTTATACCTCTATGCTATGGAAATTGCGGGATAAGGTCTCTCTCTCTCTCTCTCTCTCTCTCCCCGGAAATTTAGATGCATTCCATAACACCAGCTGTAAGAATATTTCATCGCTTTATTCAGGTTTTATCCATGAATTCTCCTCCTTTTGGAAGGACTGTGAGTGAACGTGAATGGTTGAAGAATTCTGCCAAGATATGGGAATTGGTGAAGAACTCCCCTATCATTGCAGAATACAGCAGAACACTTCAAAGTTGTGGAATGTTTAGGAGATAGACAGCTCCAATGGCTTTGCTTGCCTCTCTCAATTCTCAAGGACATACAATGTTTGTTTGGTCGATTAATTAGTCATAGGCTAGCATGCTTCTAACTTTTGTTATCTATCTCCTTAAGCACTGGTGTCTGGTTTAGTCCTTGTGAAGGAAATTGATACTAAGAATTATTTGATGTTTTTTTTTAATGGAACAGATTCGATGATGATTTAGTACTCCCGTTTTCCTTTTCTTGCTTGGTGGTTTGTGCTTTTTTATATTTATTCATGGTAATGCAAGGCCAAAAATGAATATGGAATAACAAGAATTGCATTAAATTGCGCCAAAAATAAATAAAATCCATTCCAATTTGGTGAACATTAACTTTGAACTAGTAGAATTAACCCCTCAACAAAAAGAAAATTGGGGGATGATAGGGCATAATGATTTTATACTTGAAATGAAAAGTGCAGCACCCAGATGGCAAATTTCCGTCTAAAACTCTAATTTCCGATTAATTATAAAAAATAAAAATAAAAACAGTACATGGGTACAGTGTTTGCAAGTTATCTCATAAGCTAGACAACAGAACGGGCTACTCTAGCATTGCATTTGCATCCAGTGAAGCTTCAGCAGTAGCAGCAGGCTTTGAAGAAGATTTTCCTTTGTTCCTACCTGTCCATTGAGAAAAAAAGAAGAAGAAGAAGTTAGAAATGAACATGACATTTAAAGCCAACAACATATGATATGAACTAAACTGAGTGGTAAGGTAAGGTACCTTTGCGCTTTAGTTGTTTAAGCTTGAGGCCCTTCTTCATGGGAAACTTTGAACAAGTTTTCTTGGTGTCTGTAGATTCTTCTCCACCTCCACCTACAAAACAAACAAACTTACATCAGCTTCTTGCCTTTGCCTTCAAATTGAAATGCAGACAACCTTTGTTTGTTTATATTATAACAATGTTTAAATTTAAAAAGAAACAAGTCACATAAATTATTGAAACAAATCGGAGGTACCATCAGCAGCAGCCATTTCGACGTCTTGTATAGTTATTAGGCCCTTTTGCACAGCCTCGTTCTGATCCTGAAATCAAATTATTAATCACACAATTCAACAAATATAAATATGGTAATTCAATTTCAGACTGATTTTGATGGACCAAGCAGGCACCAATACCAATACCAATACCAAATACCAAATACAAGTTATAAAAGTGTTTATTCACTGAAACAAACGTACTCTACGCCATTTTTTTAAGAGCTTGCGCTTGCGCTTGCCGGAGATAGAGAGGGGCTGGGGCTTGTTCTTCAGCTTCCCAGTGGATGGGTCTCCGTGAACTGCTCTCTTCCTCTCTGCTTTCTGCGCTCTCTTCCTCTTCTGCACCTCGTTGAACTTGGCCATCTCTTTTCTTCTCTTCTCTTTCTCTCCTTCCTTCCTTCCTGCCTATTAAAACCCTAGCAATCCTCCTCCTTTCCAAATTCCAACTAAATTAAACACTTCCTTCCTTCCTTGCCCAAGGTTCTGCGACGGACCCAGCCCAATATAAAAAAAGACGAAGCGAATTCCGGAGCCGAAGGCCCATACAAGTTTGGGCCCAAGAATTATTGAACACCAACAACCACACGTGATCATTTCAGATTTACGCTTTGTGTGATTATATCAGTATATTTCCCAAAATTCTTTGTACGAACGGCGCCGTTTTGCTTTGTAAAACCTAAAAATTCAGAGACAGGAGACGGTGTCGTTTATTTGAAAAAAAAAAATTCCCCAAATTATAAAATTAGTTCCATCTTCTTCACGCTAAAATTCTGGCGCCAAAAAGTAAAAGAAAACGCCTCCGTAGCCTTTACCCTTTTTGCTCAAGTACCTCCATAGCCACCACATTTCACCGACCTCCATATCCACCGCATTTCACCGACCTACATATCCACCGAACCGTCTCAGACCCCATAACCACGCCTGACGATCACAACCTCAATCTCTATATCTCTCTCTTTCAATGGCGGAAGTGGGTTGGGAAGATATCCAGGTATCGCCTAATCAAGAATTTGATGCTATAAAGATTGGCCAGAGGCTCTCTTGCATGCTTTCAGATATATTCATTGTTCTCCCTCGGAATGAAGAAGTAGCAGTACTACCGAAGTTGGTCAATTTGGGTTTTCAAGTAAAGGGGTTGCTGTCCGAAAATGTTTCATCCAATACCTTGCTACTCAAGTTCATGAATGTTGTAAAGATTATTTACAAAGAATTCAAGGATATGAAAGAGCAAGAAACTCTAAATCAAGAAGCTTTCGAATTGGAGGAATTGGAGGTTAAGCACAAGTTTTTTGGAAGGGACTGCTTTGTCACTAAAATTTTCAGTGAAATCAAGGATCTTGCTGCAATAGTAACAGAGCAATCTGGTGTGTCTTTTAGTGTAAGATTGCAAAAGAAAAGAATTTTGGGAGCCGTGGAAAACCTGGATGCACAGGTGTTGATTGTTAAAAATTTGTTGAGGGATTCTATCAAGAATTCAAGTGGTCAAATGGAAATTGACATCAGCCAGGTATGGAAAAAATCTAATCCCAAATTCACCAGTATAGAGATAGAAATCGAATGGGTTCGGCTCATGGCTATTGGCAGGCTAGTGGAGTATGAAGATATCGTTGCTGTCCAGAAGAGAAAAAAGTATGTTTCTCTGGCTGCGGTTGAGGGCAGAAGTGGTTGCCCTACGCAATGCAATATCTCTCAGTCAAAGGAAATCTGGACGTTATTGTAGTGTGGTTAACTGGTTGAACACAAATGCTAATGATAGCAGCAATTGGTCTGCTATGGAGGGTATCAAATTTCATTCACTTCGACTGGGGCGCCTGATTTCACACAGCCTTTGTGATTTATTTTTTGGGATCCCAAAGAATGAACAAATCACAGAAAGGTTTGTCAGCTTTTTTAACCAGCTCGAAGCTGTCTCAGGGCAAGAAAACAACGATTGCATAAAGTTATTTTCTGCTTTTACTTTCATTGTAATTAAGTGAATGTTAAAGTAAGACTTTCCTTATATAACGTAGTTATGGTTTTGAATATACAATTTCAGTTTCGTTGACATAAAACTCTTTTTGGAAAGAGGGACACAAATATGACATAAAACTCTTTTTATAACGTGTATCAGTGAAGAGGTTTCCATTGCTAATAGATATACATATCCAGGAGTGGTATTCATTGTTGAGATGGATTCATTTGTTGAGAATTAAAACTGATATGGAATAATAGTGGGAAGACCAGGAAATACAGGACATTAAGAGGTAGGATGATAGAAACCAGAAGTAGACAAATAATATGGAAGGAAACAACTACAGCAGTGTAAAGAAGAGTTGAGGTTGTATTGGAAACTAAGAAAATTTAGGGTGTCCAGACGACAAAGAAAAGTTCTAAAATTGGGGTAAGTATGGTGGATGATGGAGGAAGATGCCTGTTTAAGGAATACCAGCAAGATATCCTTAAATAAGTGGTTTTCTTTTCCAATCATGCAACATATATCAAAGGGTGCTCCCCACCTCCAGGATATTATGCAGATAGGTAGTTTTGAGGATTATTGATTTAGTAATATCTAGCAAACCAACCATAAGCTTTAGATCTTATGCATCACCGTGTTCATTGCGCAAGCCTCATGAAGGCTCAGGCTCAGACTCATGAAGCCTCATGTATTTGTGGCTGGATTAGCTGCTGTTCATTGTCTAGAGTTGTCCATCATAGACTTTTTATATTTTTTGGATTTTTCTAAAAGACTTTTGGTTTAATTCCAGCAGGAGTTTTCCAGAAGACTCTTGGATTTTCTATGCCTGTTACCTGTTATGAGTCCATACCTTTAGAATTTGGTTTTGATTTTCTCACCCGATTACTATGTAACCTCTGTTTCTTTCTTCAACAGTGAACAACAAGAGAAGAGGCTGCATTCCAAAAGCAACTACAGCAATTACAAGACAAAGAAGCAATGAGTCTCGCATTTTAACTGAGCTGCAGCGATTGAAATCCAGTTTGTCCATTCTATGAGAACTGAATATAGTAGATAGTCACTTTTCCTTTATACGAATGTTAAGCTGTTTCTGTTCTCTTACACAAAAACATCTTAGTCCTCAGGTTGTGAAATTTCACACCAATTCTGAAACTTTGTCATTTAGATGCTTAAGATGCAACTACATTGGTGAAAATTACAATTTACAAATAGAAGCTGATATGAGAAAGCTGAGTTGTGCTCTGTGCATGTATGTCTTGTCGGGATTTAGGAAGCTGATATGAAACTTTTGTGATCCTCTTAAATTTCTTTTTCAAATTATTGCAAAATTACAAGTAGAACTCTCATTAAAGAAGGAAAAAAAAAAAATCTTCAAAACTCATCCAAAACTAAAGCAAGCCGTGAACAAGAAATTGATACTTGCGAAACTGATCCGTCTACAGCAGCAGATGGCAGATAGCTGATGGCTCAGTAAATCCCTTTGTTGACTGTGTATTAAGCTCAAACGCACACCAGGTCAAGTCCTTTGCCCTTCTTTTAATAGAGGATCAAATTCCTCAGTCTTGATGAGTCCGGATTCTTTGTTGACAGTAGAAATAATAATTTAATATCAAGCAAACCATTGTATTCTGTTCTCAGAGACTGGTGCGTTACCTTGAAGTCTTTATGCCCAGCTTTCAGTTTCAGGTATCCTCAAGGGCGGAGAGTCCAGCTTGAGGCCTTGATCAAGAAAAACCTTTAACTTTTCTTATAAAAGAAAAAAAAAACGACTTTTTAACTTTTTGGGGGTAAAAAAATAGGTTAAGGTCCAATGCCATTGAGAAAAATGCTCACGAAATGAGAAAATGAAAAGGGTGGAAAGAGTGTACGACAAATATAAGAGGTAGCTGCAGCCCTTCTGGAAGTTCACTTTCTACAACTGGAAAACAACTTAACTTTATCAATATCAAGCATGGATTTGGACAGATGAATATTTATTTGGGGGGGGGGGGTAACTTTTATGTTTTTTAGAGGTTCAAGGGGATTAGCTTGCCAAAAACTCTGTCCAATAAATAGTGGCCTATTTGGTTGGCATGGCACCCTTCTTTCTTTTCATGGACAAAGTATGTTCGTTGAGACTTGATTGGGGTGTCTCGTCCCCGTCTTGTTTGTATTGATTTTATGTAGTTATTTTGTCCCGCCCCTCTCAATTCACCCAAAAAGAAAAAGATATTTAGTAATATATCCATTTTTAGCACTAAAATTATAAATAAACTCTACACCATTTAATTTCTGCAAACAAACCCAAAAAAAACCCAGTAAATGACAGCTGGATCTATTGAATTTAATTTTGATTATTAAATTACTTTGATGTCCTATTGAGTATTTTGGGCTTTTTTAAGAGGTTTTTGGGTTGGGTTTGTTCTAAGAAATCAATGCCAATTTTGTAATTCAAAATAAGTTAAAAGCCTTTTTGTTCTGTTGTAAATGAGCTTTGGGTATGTTTCTAAAATCCATTTCATATATGATTTTTTTTATAATTTGGGCTCTTATATTGGGTATAATAGTGAATCTCCCAAAAAAAAAAAAAATGTTCGTTGATATACAGTTCAACCCATTGGGACGAATTTTTCAAAATAATTGATTTTTCAGACATTTGCAGGTCTAGCCAGAAAATAATAATCTCACTTATTTTGGAACATGTAAATTATAATACAAGACCGACCAGGTAATTTTTTATAACATATGTATCCTCCTGCCCAGTCCAAATAGTAGTACAATGATAGCAAATTAAATCAAGGACTACGTTCCCAATTTATTGCCATGAACATACAGCCAGAGCTTTGTAGCAATTAGCATGGAGGCATTCCTGGTGGCGGAGGTAAAATTTTGGCTCCTAGACCCTTTCCATTTTTCACAATGAACGTCATGTCCATGCCCCATGACATATGCCGATCCAGATGGCAGTGCATAAACCAAACTCCTGTTCTCAACAAAAAAATCATTGACATTACATGATCAGCATCATTCATTGTAACTTGATTAATTCGGAAGTTAACCAAACCAGAGGAGAGTCTTACCAGGATTGTCTGCCTTGAATCTAATGGTAGTCCAGCCATTTACAGGGACAGCGATGGTGTTTTGAAGAGGAGGGTCAACAAGATTATATGTCAAAGGGTCCTTATCCTCGTCAAAATTTCCAAGTCCCCATCCAACAACATAGAAACTGAATCCATGGAGATGCATTGGGTGGTCATCCCCTGCAACCAAATTTGTCCCCTGAAACACAATCTCCACGGTCGCGTTGTACTTCAGTATCTTCACTTCCGTCCCCTGCTTCGGGGTCTGTAAGTACAATGGCAAGTCCTGAGCCGTAAAATTAAACAGCAAGGGCGGGAAATTCGGAAATCGAGTTCCAAATGCCCCATTGACATGGTAATAGTAAGCCTGCAATATGTCAATGCTGGGGTCGACAAAGCTAATGTTGTTGACGCTAGCGGCCAGACGTGTCCCATTAGGCCCTGCACATGAATTTTTTAGGCATGGTAGTGTGTTGACAGAAAGTGTGTAAAACAATGAAGTTGTTATCTCGCGCGGCACGTCAACTGGGTGGTTTTGATCAGCTAGACTTCTGAGACTACCAGTAAAATGAACCGATGCTTTGGTGTCGTTATGGGAAGGAAGATTAGGAAAGGAAGGGGTTGAAGTTGAGGTATAATTTCCATTGTATTGTAGTATGGCGGTGGTGGTTGTGTTGTCATAAACAATCCCAGCCCCACCAACGTAGGCTTTAGCAGCAATGTAGTAGTGGTTGGGGGTCTGGTCAGCAGTGAACAAGAGGTCAATGGTTTGGCCGGGTGATATTGTGACATAATCTGATGAAAATGGCTTGGTGTAGCTAGCATCTGAGCCCACAACCGTGACCTTGTGATTGGCAATCGAGAAAAACAGAATCTCTTGCACAGCTGAATTGATTAGCCTTAGCATGTAGGTCTTCCCATAATCAACCATCAGCTTGAATGTGTCTGGTTTTGAACAAGGATAAAGATCGCCAGGTTGACCATTGATGAGGAAAGCATTGGAAATGTTAGGGTCCCCTCCATTTTGAATAGTTTCATTATAAAGCTGTCCTATATCTTCCTTCCACCACTCCCCTACAATTTTCAAGTCAATTTGTTGAACATGTATATATCAATAACATTATATTATTGTCGAATTAATTTTGCATTACGTACCTAAGATGATTGGAAATTCTGCATGAGGCTTGGGAAAAGGGTAAGTGGCTCCTTTGTTGGGGTAGATGACTATAGCGCCGTGGACGGTGGCTCGATCCCACTCGCTGTGAGCATGCCACCAGAGGGTGCCTTCCTCAGAGGAAAATATGATAGTTTGGGTAAAGCTGCCTCCTGGTTGGATTGGGCACTGCGTGATATAATCAGGACCGTCCGACCATGGATTCCTTGGTTGCTTAACTCCATGCCTGAAATATTGAAATCATTTAATTATATCAAAATAATAAATTAAATTTTTTTTTAAAAAAAAAAGAATATTACCAATGGATAGTAATGTTACGATTGCCCTTGTTATAAACATCGACGATGATAGTATCTCCCATGCGAGCGTACAGTGTTGGTCCAGGAAACTGGCCGTTTACAGTCAGTATGTTCTTTGTGCTACACAGTCTTCTGTATGGAGTTTCTTCCACCTACAATATTTACAAAGATATCCAACCAGAAGATATCCTTCGTTAGTTTTGTTTATTTCAAGCTCCTGAATCAATCAACATGATCATATATACATAACCATGCATGCATGCATGCATATGCAATTCACACACACACACCAATATAAAATATCAGAGGAGTTTTAATCAATTAGTAATTCAGATGATATAATACCACAAAAGTGTAACGAGGCCAAGCTTGGCAGTGGAAGATGCCAACACACAACAACGTCAAGCCTAAAAGTTGCACGCTAATTAAAATCTTCATGGCCAACATGATTCTTTCTCTTCTAGCTAGTGATGACAGTACTTGATCTTTTTTCTATGACTGGCGAGCTACAGCTAGCTGATGCAGTTCAGATGAGTTCAGGAGGCATATGCCACCTATATATATATACACAGAGAGAGAGAGAGAGAGAGAGAGAGAGAGAGAAAGAAAGAGAGAAAGAAAGAGAGAGAGAAATAAACACACGCGAGGCAACAAACAATTAGACGTAATCGAAAATTTGCTGGTGAAGGTACCCAAAAGCATTTCAGTCACTGCAAGTTGTAACTTGCACAATTTCGCTTTGAATTGAATTAAAGGCTAAGCTATTTTGCTCTTGGCTAGCTTCTTTATTGGTATTAACATGTTCAGTGAGAGTTAACTTACCTAGCTACCATATTCAATGAATGTTACTTAATACTTATCGCTTTTCTCCCTAACCTTCCTTGATATATATTCTCATTCATTCCAGTCACAGATGAATGAATTTTCCACTGATCATCAATTAATCTTGGATATTATAACAACTAATTAATCTTGGATTATAATAATCATCAATTAATAAGCGAGACTAGAGTAGGTTTTTTGACATTTACCAGCTCAAATATGTATATATGCCTGCAGGCTGCAGCCATTCTAGATATATATATATATATATATGTATTGAATTCATTCCCCCATCCAACGGCCCAGAGCCAGCCAGAGGAATAATAAATAGTACTTTGCAAATAAAAATATAGGGATACCTAATCCAACATAATTAAGAAAGAGGAAAGACCACTTTATAAACAAAGTATCTGATCAACGGTAGCAGTTAATTCATACCTCACCAAGATCCTGGACAAGTGGTACGTTTTGGTGTTCCACTTCATTTACTTTACTCTAAATATTAATTAAATAATTAATTAATGTTAACTGTATTTTAATGCCTGAGTTGAGGCTTCATTACGGTATGTAACACTTTTAGGAAACCAGTAACAATCAATACATTTATTTATCCTAGTACATCACATTGCACGATTTTCTTTGCTTCTACTTTTCTATTTCTGGTGCGTAATGGATAAAATAAAATATCCTAGTACTAGTACCTGATAACGAAATTTGAGCAACAACCAAAACCATACCGTTTGGTTTTAGCCTCTGTATAATATTATTAATAGCATGTGAATCTTTTTACCATCCTCTCCCCGGAAGAAAGAAAGAAAGAAATGTGTGGTAAATCAGAAAAAATACGTATTAAACAAAAGGTGACGCCTCCATTCACGACCATCACATCACACGTGATAAGATAATGATAAAGCTCTGGTCCAATGAATTCTTCTGAATTTGGGATCCCTCAAAGACAAACAACAACAACAAGGTCAGTGTTGCGGGTTATTGGGTTAGGTAATCAACCAAAACACACACCACTCCACTACTTTGGTCCATTGGCTGCGAGATCAACATCTTACGCAATAAGGTCAAAGGAACTCACTCCCACCTGGAGGTGGACGCCGCGGCTCTTTCATCTTCGTCTTATATGTGTGAATTAGTAACACAACATAATTCTTGATCTTATATGTGTGAATTAGTGACACAACGTAATTTAACAATCACACGTATTATAATATATGTAGATTAGTAACACAACATGATTGGGTGACCGTCACATGTATGACATACGTACAGGAACTATATATTAGTCTGATTTACGGTTCTTTTTTCAGTGTTTTAGAACACACCTATTTCCTAACACACAGTTGCATTCAACGGTCATTGGTTTGTCACTGACTCACTAGAAAGATGTTCCTCCGTCTGCTCTGTTTAGATTAGAAATTAGACAGGCCCTCCCGAGTTGAATCAGTGCATCGCTTTGCATAATCAAATTTTAGCATTGTTAATGTTCACATAGAAAAAAGATGAAAAGAAGAAAGAGTAACTTATACAATATCGCTCAAACTCCAGTTATTATCCCTACCTATTTTTCTCATCTCTTGTATCCACATATAACATATTGCGTCTTAATAATATACATTAAGTTATGACTACGAATCAATCTCTTCAAGCTCCACATGACGTCCACAATCTGAAACAGATGAGGACGAAGATTCGAAATTCTTTCCTTTGCCATCCGAAGATGCTGATGGCCCCGTGTCCATGCTTTCCTTCGGTTTTGGCTTCTGTAAAGTTTGGAGCTGATTCTGCAGGATCTGTAGAAGAAAAGTAGTTATTCAGAAGCACAGCACAATAAAATGGCTGGCAGCGACCACAAGATCACAGCATAAGTGATTATCTTCCTTCAAATTATGTTTCGCAACAAACAATCAATAGTACCTCGATCTGGTGTTGGAGAAATTTTTTCTGGGCCTCCAGTTGAGAAGCTGTTATATTCGGATCGCCGCCCAACCTCTCCTCGTAGGCCACATTGGCTCCAGGAACCTCAAATGGGACAAACATGTAATGTGGAAATTGAGGGGAGGACAAGTTTGAAGGTCCACCAGGGGTTGCAAGCTGTGGGTGCGATACTCCACTAGATCCAGTGTTAGCGGAGTCAGCCATTTGTCTTTGAACCTGAGGAAGTGCCACATATCCAGGAGACCTGCATACAACAGGATATTCTGTAAGGCTCTGCTTTGTAGCATTGTATGCAGTGCCCCCTATCCAAAGTATATACACATGCACACTCTAACAGGCATGCAAATACCTAAAACCTAGGAACAAACTAAAATGCCGAAGGGACAATATGAGCATTCAACAATAAAAAAAAGCAAACAGTTCACTAGGATAAAGGTGCCGTACCATACTAGTCTGTTTGCAGATGGATACACATGAGACTTCTCATATATCGATGCAGCAGCAGCAGCAGCTCGGAGTCTGGCTTCATGTTGACTAAGATTATCACCAGCAACTCCACCACCTTGAGCTGTTGTACCTGTCCCTGTTCCGAATTAAAATCATAATCACCTCACCAAAATTTTATAATGAATGAACCATGTCTTACTAAAAGTCCTTTTGAAAACAAAAGAGCGACCATGAAACATGAAACATGAAACCATCAGTACTAAAAACTACTAAAGCCACAAATTCTACATCCAACTGGCAGTTTATTGGTGCCTTAATTTTTCTCTTCCTTTAGTAATGATCCTTCATGTATGAAGAAAAAGGAAATGTATGTTTAAAAGCTACAAAGTTCTGAAAGATCCCCTAACACCAAATATCAGACCTTATGGTTGTCACACAGCAACTAAAAGCTACACACAAACTGCAAACCTCAGAAGCTTACCCTGTTGATGAGCATCGGACCGTGATCCCCTATGTCCTCCAGCTGTACCTGCCCCATTTTCAGGAGGTGCAACTAGGGCTCTGCAAGTAGGACAGGTATGCTGTCGCTCTAACCATGATCGCAGGCAAGGCACATGAAAAAGGTGTCCACATAATAGTTTCTTGGCTGTTGTCATCTCTTCACGGCAAATAATGCAAGTTGCATCACTTCTGCATATCCATCATAAAGAACTAAGACTCTAACATGCAGAATTAGAAGCTATCATAAAATAAAACACTTGAAGCTAATAAGAGACTTTACACTTACGCATTAAGCTCTTCAGGCGTAGCATCTGGGAATCGATCATTCATGTTCGAAGTGAGCTTTCGATAACGAATGTAATCAGCAAGGCGAATCTTAAAGTTCCTAAATGTTTCATAGAGCTCACGTATTAAGTGCAATGGCACACCATAGTACCTGGGATGGGATAAAACTCGATGTCAATAAAGATAGAACAACTTCAACTTATGCAAGTCAACAACAAAATATGTTGATTACCACAATTCCGACAAGCTTAAAACTTAAATCGGGTAGGATGTGGGCCCACTATTGTCTCATATTATAACATTACGTCTCACGTGTGGGTCTCTCTCCACCACTAGGGAACCAAACATGATGAATTCAACACAGATTGAGCCAAACACGTTCTCAAAAGTTTAAGCTATCATGAAGTGGGCCAATATCACTTTTGTCCTCAAGAGGGTGCATAAGGGACTTAAGTGTGTTATATTTAGCAAAAAAATTGTGTACATACGCGACTTATGTAAAACTCAAGATAACCAAGATACTCACATGAAAATCACAAGAAAGAAGCACAGATACATGGATAAGTGGAGCAAGTCCCGAATAAGTTCCAAGTAAAATGTGTAGACAGGCTTCTTCTCCCATTGTCCCTCCATAAGCATGTCACTAACATAGAAAACATATTTCACAAATGTTGACACCGTCGTTGTTGCTAGTATCATGTACCTGAGATACAAAAGGATAGACATTTTAAAATGAGAAGTCATAACATAACTCTTAATTCTCTGTAATCCTATCATAACTCTTAATTCTCCCCTACTGCCCATCGTTACTGGGACATACATACTTTGTTCAACCCACCATCATATCAGTCACCCTACCAACCACTTTATGCAACGAGATTACTGGCTACTTCCAAGCCTAAGTTAAAACTGTATGCATAAGAAGAAACTAATATCCTTACATAGTAGAGTTGCTCCAGCCATTTCCAATATACTGAAGCCAAATGCAATATTAACTATTACATAAAAAGATGCCTAATGATTTCAATTAAATCAAATAATGACTTGCGTGTTCTAAACGTGAACAAAAAGAATCAGAAATAAGAACCATTAAGATGGATCACTTACTCAAATGAAAAGAAGAGGGAAACCGAAGCCTTTTGTGTCTTTATCAAATTGCTAATTGAACTGTACAAAAAGAGACTATCTACAACAAGCAAGAATCCCAAAAAGGAGACAATCCGAACATGAGACAGCATGGGCACGGATGGGGTAGTCTCAATGTATTCAACCCTCTTCTGAGCCAACCAATGCAAAGCCTTGATCAACAGCAGAGCTGTGACCATAGCAAGAAAGGAGACTGAGAAGTCCTGCCTGAAAATAGTAATAGCAAAGAGGATCTCCATGACTTCCCTCCATGACTGCTCATTAAGCCTCTCCACCTCGGCTTCTCGGAGTGATCCAAGGAAGAGCTTTTTAGTTAATTGCCACATAGTACACATAATGACCAGACCCATGTTGAGAAGCAGCACCAAACTGATCTTGGAGGTTGATAAATAAACCATGGCCGGGTAAAACTGGCCTCTACTGCTAAATCCATGATAAATAATCGCTAGAGTTGCTACCAAGCTAATCCCCGCATAGGTTTGCAGCCTCATCATTTTCCTCAACGTGCTGTTACACCACAACAATTGATAAGCTTCTCATCCGGTTTCCAAAAAGATATAGATTTAAGAATGTTAATAATGCCATCGACTCGAGACCTAGAATTCAAATAAAACAATAAATAAATAAAACCCAAAATTATAAAGCTTCTCTCTTCTCATTCAGTTTCTCAGCAGTCAAACAGACTCCCGAAGAACCAAGAATTTTAGTCACTGAAAACAATGAAATCATTTATCCTAAGGAAGCAAAAGAAAAGAAAGATCCTAATGAGATGAGCCATAAGCAAACATCAAAATCAGAAATTGAAATCGAATTTTCAGAAGTGAATAATATTTTCATCTAAACAAATGAAAAGTCATAACATTTGAAACAACTGAGTACCTCTGAGAAGCTCGCTCTGTTGAAATTTCGGGCTCTCTGTTCCTTCCTCCCTCCCTCCCTCCTGGCTTAGGTTTCTTTTGAGAGACCAATAAGAAAAAGAAAACAAAAATGATGTAGCTCTACCCAATGACGAAGTTCCACGTGTAAGGAAAGTCCAAATACCCGACCGCAGTTTTTGCCGACCCAACAAAGATAAATCCAAGCCTATCAAACTTGTTCATGATACGGGCTGAGACTGAGACGATGTTAAAAGCCTGGCCCAGCTTTCCCATCTCGTGTCGTGGGCTTGTTGTGGCCCTATCTGCTGAAAATAAGAGAGAGAAATACAGAGAGAGCAAGAGAGAGAGAGAACGAGCGATATGGCGACGGTGGTGAAGAGCGTTGTGAAGGCGATCAGAGAGAGAGGTCTCCGCACCTTCTTGAAGGAGCTAAAGGAAGATGGCTACGCGTATGTTCTCTCTCTCTCTCTCTCTCTCTATCTTTCCTTTTTAATTGATTTTTCTTTTGTTAATGCAATGCTTTTGGGATGTCAAAGATCTAATTTTTGCTTCTTGGCTGTATGTGTTTGGATGCCAAGAACATATTTTTTTCTTCTTCTGTTTTTCTTATCGTAACTAGTATGCCTGAATCCGATTTATCCTCTTTGATACCTGAGAAATGGAAGACAAATCAAAGTGGGATGGCAGTGATGAGACTTTGAATTCGACTTTTGGTTTTTTTTTTCTTTCTACATTTCTCTTTGCGACCAAACGCAGCCCAAATGTACAAATTGTTTCCTAGAAGGTTAATTTTATTTTTGTTTGGTTTCCGAGAATTCTTAGGAAAATAATCAAAATAGTGGGAAAATGATGAATTTAGCTTACTATTGGCGAAAGAAATATGTGCAAAACAATATTTTTGGAAAGCACGGTCAAAAAGCTAAGCGGGTTCTGATTATTTGGTCTGTTATCTGATGTAAATCTGTTGGTTTCGTAGGATTAGGAAAATGTAGGAAAGAAAACAACTTAAAGGCTAAAACTTTTTTCATAAAGCTTACTGTTTGGCACTCAGGGATGATACCTTTTGTTTCAATTATTGCTGGCATGGTTGGATTCTGGAGCATTTTCTGATATATGGCTTCCCTAAGATGTCTTTTTGTAGTTGTTTGAATGGCTCTTAAATTGATATTTTTCTTTGGGACTATATCTCTGTACTGTGTTGACTGTTTATACTGTTCCAAATCTTGCAGAAACTGCATTTTCGATGGAAACCTTCTGTAAGTCGTATTGTTTCCCCTTTACTTGAAATTTTGTTACTTAGTATGTTTAACAGAGAAGCATAAGTTTATTTTTACATGATATTTAGATTTTAAAGGTTTTGAGAAAGTCATGTTTGTGAAACTATCCCAGGTTCTGTGCCTATTCAACAAACTATCCCATGCTTGTTAAAGTTTAACCTTTCATTGAAATTCTACAGAGAATTATATGTCATGTTATTCAAAGGAGACCATAAAACAATGAATTGTCACTGGTAGGCTAGTTGGAACTTGGAAGCCCCAAAAGGATTTCTCCCATCTAAGGAAGGCCATACCAATTTACATTGGAATGAGGGATTACTTTTGCTTCCTTGTGTGTTGGAATAGTTTAGTCATATTTGTTTCTTTGAGGGTGGTTCGACGTTCTCAATGGCTATTTATTGGGACGTAATGTTCGGAGTCTGTAGAAGTGCAAGTGAAGTGAAAGGACCTTGACTAAAACTTTCAGGGTTTATTTTGATTTTGTAAAAGAAAAGCTTTTAGGATTTATTTAGAACACAATTCTATGAAATTGTTGGACAAGAGTACAAAATGAGGGGTCATCTGTTGCTGCCTTGACCTGAGCGGTTTCTTTATATTTCATTTTCGAAGATATTATATGTATATAACATCAGTATTTATCTTTAGCATATCTAACAAATTTTTGTTTGATTGCTTTAGGCAAACTAAAATCCACAACATTGGGGCAAGGCTTGTAGGTGTTGATAAAATTGGCAATAAATATTATGAGAAGCTTGACACTCAATATGGTCAGTGTTTCTTCATTTCCCCCCTTCTGATGCTTTTCTTACTATAGCAATAAGAATATTGGTTCTTTACTGCATTGCATTGGATTTGTGACATTGTCATCCATTAGCCTTTCCAAGCACAGGCCATAGTCAAATCGTGAAATAATCCTTGGTAAATTTGATCTTATGGATCTTGTCAAATCCTTATTCCTCTTTTTAAAAAGAGTGAAGAGATACTTTTATTTTCCTGGGAAGTGGGCAAATTTTCTCTGTCCATCAATGAAAGTGGTTTGACTCTCTTGTTTGCCAAACCGATTTTAACAAAGGTCCCATATTTGTTATAAGAAAGGGTTGTCCATGCAATTGAACACTTCTTAGTCGGATGCTTACATGCCTTGGTGCATCAGAGTTCACCACATCCACATGTGTTTAGATTAGAGAGAGTGAGTGGTTTAGTAAACGGCCCATTTTTTCCTGTTTGATGCACTAGGAAGTTCTTCAAAGTTTTCCATGGCTTCAAGGTTATTGTGGTATATGCATGCTCAGAGCTTACTGATTCAGTTGAGGGATTTTACAGGAAGACACAGGTGGGTTGAATATGCAGAGAAGGGTCGCTACAACGCTTCTCAAGTACCACCAGAATGGCATGGTTGGCTGCACTACATAACTGATCGTACAGGGGATGAGGCAAGTCCTGCTTCCATATTATTTGATGACTTATGCTGTGAAAAAGATGTTGCATGCAGCTAACAAATAAGTGAACTGGTTGCAGCTTCTGATGCTACGACCAAAGAGGTATGGCATTGAACACAAAGAAAATTTCACTGGTGAGGGTGATGAGTTTATATACCATTCCAAAGGGCACAGCCTGAATCCGGGCCAGAGAGACTGGACCAGGTACCAACCGTGGCAACCAACCAAGCCTTGAGTTATTATCACGGCACATTCGTGATCAAACTTGAAAGAAATCTTACAATTTTCTAGTCTGTATTCGATTAATAAAATGGCTTGTACTTTGTGTTAGCTGTGAATCTTTTGTAACGTTTGCTGCTCTATGGAAATGACACTGTTAAACTTGATAGTTCAATGAATGACTGCTCTTTGTTGTTGTGTGATTAGTTGGGCAAATATGAGTTCTATCCCTTGTCGCACAATCGTGGTTGACTATCTGGCCATCTGGACAAATCATGTGTGGAATGGATTTGATTTGAGAGCTCACAAACACTCACCACGAGTGCGCCTAATAAGCTAGTGAAGGAGGAGCTTACAAGTCGAGACATGATTTTGTTTGTTGAGTTGGACTGAATACGTGTCAAATTAATAACGATTTGAGTTATCAAGCCCGTTTAATAATGGTGGGAACAAACTGTATAAGACAAAGAGCCCAACCAACAATAATGGGTTAGTACGTTGCTGATGCGCAGTCCAACCCCCGTTCTTTGATCACTTCATCTGCACCTGCATTTGTTCACCCAGCTACCAACATCAACCTCCTCTTGTTTCGGTAACTTTCTCAATCAATTCCCACGTGAAAAAGGAAAAACACAACATAACAAAACTTGTAAATTTCACAAGTCATTCATAGGTCCAAACCTTGAAACTGTAAAGAGTCCTTGACCAACAGCAGACAGACACAAAAACTCAACTTCTTCGTTGTTGGCATTAACGGCGTGAAACTACCCTTCACCTCCATTCAATTTAGAATTCCTCCCACTTGCCATCCTTTTATTTCCAATCACCGCGCTCTTCATTACTCAGTTTCGCTCAGTTTTCCTTCTTTACAATCATTTCTGACGCTGTTTCGTAGCTCTACCAATGGCGTCCGGTCCTGAGCAGCCCCGGCTTTCTTCTCGCCAAAAGGTTTCATTTTCTACTCTCAATTCAATTCAATTTTGCTTCTTCTTTTTTTCTTCTGGTGCTTACGTTGTGTCTGTTTGCTCACTGAGAAGGGTCATTACAAATTGAAAAACGTTGAATTGAACCAAAACAACATGAAGTTTTGCACTTTATATTGTTTCATTTTGCGGCAAGTACAATACTTTAGAGTTATCAAATTCAAAAATTTTACAAATTTGTTTTTGTTCTCTCGTCTTTTCTCGAACACCATACAGGGTTAAGTTGGGGTTTTGGTATCTTGACTTGGTGTTTCGTATCTGGTTAGTTCAATTTACGTTTGATGCCTGACAAAGTGTAGGAAAATGAACTGAGAGATAAAAAGAAAAACCACATGTAAGGGACAAGGATTTCGAATTTTTTATTGTCATTTGTATTCGATGCTACCTATTGATTCTTTTCATTTTTGACATTTATGTTCTGTTTGGTTGTGTTGAGAATCAGAAGTAATAATTTTTGTCGCATGAGAACGAAAAGGGCGTCTATGGAGTACAAATGAAATTATTTGGTTTGGGTCGTTTGAGAGCTGACCCAGAGTACCATAACAACAAACACACACACACACATATATTTATATATATATTCTATCCTATTGTTCCTGCTCCACTGTTTTCTCTGTAAACGCCTCGAGTGTGATTGTTTGCTTTAGATGTCCGCGTTCGAAGTTGTTGAAGTGCGTTGCCATTTTTCAGGGGGGTTCTTCAGGTGAGCTTGGCGATGCACAGGAGCCTCTTCTTAGTGAGGTTCACAATTCAGAAAACTATTCTGTTCTTGCTGCAATACTACCGTGAGTATTATTTTTCAGTTAATCTGTTCTGATTTATCACAAGGTGTGCTTCTAAACATTGTCATGCCTCTTGTCTCGTGGGGGGTAATCCCTACCTATCCGTGGGAGGCAGTGGCAGTCAATATATCTTTGGTTCCTATCACACAATTTCTCTGCACGGTGTTGAATAAGCATAAATAATACAAAACAGTTCTACATGATTGAAATGAATTCATATCTGAAAAGTTTCCGTTCCTTGCCCTGTTTTTTCTGTTTCATTTATCATTTGGCCAACCAAGAGAAGAAGTGTTTGGCTAATTTTAGACACCTCTACATAAATTATTTTGCTTGGCTTTATCTTGACTTGTATCAATAGTTTGCTAGTGCAGGATTAACTGATGTTGTAATTGGTATTGTATCTAACTGAAAACTTTGTATGTAAATCATGTTATTCATGCTTTACAGATTTCTTTAATGATTTCAGGTTTCTATTCCCAGCTCTTGGAGGACTACTATACGGTTATGATATTGGTGCCACCAGTTGTGCCACAATCTCCGTAGAGGTATACATGGTTACTCATTGAGTGACAACTTAACTGATAATTCAGTTAAAACATATTTTGATGTATATTTGTTTAATTACAGTGACTGACTCTTATGTGGAAATTTTGGTCTAGTTAGACTTGATAATCCAACTAATTGCCTTCTTGCTTTCATTCACTCAATGCAGTCGCCCACATCAAGTGGAATATCATGGTACAACTTGTCGTCTGTGGAAATTGGTCTCATAGTAAGTTAACAACACAACTTACTTGCAATTACTGAAATCTCCGTGGGTGTATCTTTTTATTTTATGTTCTGCCTGCTCCTCGTAAATGTTTCTTCGGCACCCAAACGTTGTGTCATTAAATTTGTGTATGTTTCCCTTTCCAGACTAGTGGCTCATTATATGGTGCCTTGATTGGATCTTTGCTGGCCTTTAATGTTGCCGACTTCTTAGGTTGGTTTTTCTAATACATTCCAAGTTATACAAATAAACTTAAAAATGTCCTCCATTATTGATGAGGTTTGAATGATGAATCTTTATAAAGGAAGAAGGAGGGAGTTGATTTCGGCTGCTATATTGTATCTTCTTGGAGCTCTAGTAACCGCATTAGCACCTGACTTGCCTGTTATGGTGATTGGGCGTGTTGTATTTGGTATAGGAATTGGACTGGTAAGTATACAGTGCTTTTTTCAACACAAAACAATACTTGGCTCTTTTTTTTTTTCAAAAAAGAAAAAAAGAAGATGTATAAATTTTCAGTCTGTTTTCTTTTAGGCAATGCATGCTGCTCCGATGTATATTGCTGAGACAGCTCCAAGTGAGATACGTGGTCGACTGATATCTCTTAAAGAGTTCTTTATAGTACTTGGGATGGTTGTAAGTGCTTCAACATGGCATCTGAGAATTTGAATTTTTTTACTGTTGTGACATGCAACCAAGCCAACTCAAAGCTGATTTGCAATCTTTCTCCTTTTTTCTTTTTTGTAGCTTATTCTTCGAAAGTTCTATCTATTTAATTGGTATATATATATATATATATTACCTGCATGCAGGCCGGAAAATCGTAACCACCCTCAATGTTTTGCAGGGAGGGTACGGAATTGGTAGCCTTTTAGTTGACACAGTTGCTGGTTGGCGCTATATGTACACAGCGGCTATCCCTTTGGCAGTAATTATGGGAATTGGAATGTGGTGGCTACCAGCATCACCTAGATGGATCCTTCTGCGTGCCATACAGGGAAGAGGAAATATGCATGAGTTAAAAGAGACTGCAATCTCTTGCTTGTGCCGGCTTAGGGGTACAGCCATTGGTGATTCAGCTCCTGCACAAGTGGATGAGATGCTGGCTGAGCTTTCTTATGTAGGTGAAGAGAAAGAAGCTTCATTAGGCGAGATGTTTCATGGAAAATGTTTGAAAGCCCTTGTGATTGGTGCAGGATTAGTGTTGTTCCAACAGGTAGTTTCAATTGGTTAATATGATATGATGTGATCAGTTGCCAACTTTGGCTTATACATGGCATCTATACTATGACAGATTACAGGGCAACCAAGTGTGCTGTATTATGCTGCATCGATTTTTCAGGTACCCTGCTAACTTAGATATTGGACATTATTGAAGAGGTTATTACTAACAGGGGTTTCGTAGGAAAATGTCTCTCTTCCTAACCCATATGATTCAATAGAGTGCAGGATTCTCTGAAGCATCTGATGCAACACGGGTCTCAATTTTACTTGGTGTTTTCAAGGTATATTTTCTAAATTATTAGTTTTTTCAATTATTATTGTTATCAAGAAGCATTTTGCCCCAGTTAGATGCATGTCTCCATTATTGATCACATTATTTCCCTATACTTTTCTTTTCTTCTTTTTTTTCGGTGCTAAAAAAGTGTGCCTATTTCCTATTGAAGAAATTGACCACCTAAACAGATATGTCCGACTTGCTATTTTCTTGTTGTAGTTGATAATGACTGGAGCCGCTGTTCTTGTTGTTGATAGACTTGGGAGGAGACCTCTACTACTTGGAGGTGTTTTGGGGATGGTAAGTCCACTCTTGGGTTGATGTTTCTATGTTTCTTTGTTTTTCTGTTACTATCTTGGGATCCGCAGAGACAACATTCAACTTGTTTATCAAATTCAAGAGACTATATATTCTATCGGATTCAGTCTTGTTCATGTGACAGGTCATCTCTTTATTCCTTTTGGGATCATATTACCTTTTCTTTGATAATGCCCCAATTGCCGCTGTAGTTGCACTGCTGTTGTATGTTGGGTGTTATCAGGTAATCTCTTCTTTCTTGACATAGACCCACATCATAGCATCATAGTATCGTCATATAATCTACGGTTTATATAATGATGCTTATTTTATTAGAGAATACGCACACATATATACCAACTGTGTGTGTGTATATATAAACTAATTGCATTTCTTTTTTTCTGTAAGAAGCTCGTATTTTTGTAGTATACAAGTTTTTGTGTTCTTATTTTGGATAGGTTTTAGTGTTGGACCACAAAAATGTTTAACCCATGAAATTAAATTTGCAGTTATCGTTTGGTCCCATTGGTTGGCTAATGATATCAGAAATTTTCCCCTTACGATTAAGAGGGCGAGGACTCAGTATAGCAGTGCTTGTGAATTTTGCTGCAAATGCGCTGGTGACATTTGCATTTTCCCCTCTCAAGGTGCTTAAGATTTTGAGCCCTGTTTGCATTGCATTTTCTTCCATTTGCTGTGGCTTGTATGTTTTACTTACCGATGGATTAGCCCTGTCAATAATTTGTTTGATTAAGACAGAGAGAGATTGTAATATGATTTGATTTGCGATTACTTACAGGTATGGCTGGGAGCTGGAATATTGTTTTATGCATTTGGAGCAATAGCTGTGGCATCTCTTGTGTTCATTTTCTTCATTGTCCCAGAGACAAAGGGGCTTACACTTGAGGAAATTGAGGCCAAGTGCCTTTAGGGTTGGTTTTGTCCTCCTATTCCCTTCCCTATCACAGACGGGTTTAGCTAGAAATCTGGTTCATATATCATCCCCTCCCCTCCATTTTCTGATATGGAGGAGGGGGAGCGAATCGGAATATACCATTCTACTGTTCTGGTGTAGTCCCTCATGAGCTTAAGTCCTAATATAGAGTTGACATACCAGCATTCATGTCTGTTATATATATATATATTATACTTCACCTAAATATGACGTCACATGTATGAACGAATATTCTTTTAAATGTATTATATATGATGACGATGATAGGGGAATTTATTTTATTTTTTCCCCATTTTCATTCTTATGGCTGCTGGCATGCTGCCGTTGTGTATTCACCTAAATGTCAGATTGTGTGTTTTGTTATGAATAATGAGCTGCTGTGTTATCTTGAGATCATGCATTCATGTCCTAATCTAAAGCAATGCTTTTCAACATTTGGTAACATAACATATCACCTCAAATTGTCTCAAACTCTACAACATAACATAATCACTTTGGGACGTGAAATTACCTAAGTGCCCTCCATATAAAAACATATCTATTGACCCTTTTTCACCTCTTTTCTGAAAGCCAACTTCTCCCAACTCCTCTTCTCTCTCTCGCGCAGCTCTCTCACAGTTCTCTCTTCCCTTCTCAGCACTTTCTCTCTCCATCGACCACCACCACTCTCTTTCTCCCTGTGTCACGAAAACCTAAGAAGCACTCTCTCTTTCTCTCTCTGCAGTCGATGTTAGGGTTTGTTGAGGGGGTTCTTGGAGGTGAAAGACAGGGTTTCTTCGTTAAATGCTCTCTCCCTTCAACAATCTCTCAGCTCCCTCTCTTTTCATGTCTTCAATCGACGTCTTTCTCTTCTCCCCTGCTCCTTCAGGGCATCACAAAATCCTAATTCTTGACTTACAGCTGAGGAGGTTGATCTCTCCCAGGATGTACAGCAGATGCTGTGTCCGACTCCGAAAAGCACTTTGTAAGTCATGCCCTGGCATTTTTTGCCGCATCTGATGGAATTGTTTTGGAGAATTTGGCTGCAAGATTTCTAAACGATGTTCAGATTCCAGAGGTGATTTGTCTGCTATGAATATGTTCTTTATATGAAGAAGAGTGTTTAAAGTTCCCAAAACATGTTCCCTCTCTCCTATTTCAACCCATAATTTTTGAACTGTTGATGATTTACCACATAATTAGACTAAAATCCATTTTTATTTTCTCTTAGTTGACCAACTAACACTAAGGCTTTTCGTTCTTCTTAGGCTCGGGCATTCTATGGATTTCAACTTGCAATGGAGAATATTCATTCTGGTAGAGCTTTAAACATGGTTTCTGTTATTTCCTCTATTTATAATGTATGGAGCCACCTGCCTAAGGGGTCATCTTTTTTCTCCTTTTGAAAATACGGGCTATCATCAGAGATGTACAGCTTGCTTTTGGAGACAAATATCAAGGATTCAAGGGAGAAACATAGATTGTTCAACGAAATTGAAAGCATTCCTTGTGTCTCTTGGAAGGCTAAATGGGCTTTGGATTGGATACACAGGTACATGTACATTCGTCTTTTGCATTCCTGGTATAAGCAAAGATGGTACATCTTTGGGTTTGAAGTGCTTTGTAATTTCTAAATGAAGGAGATTATATTTCTTGTGTGGTTGGACTTGTTTGTCTTGAGTTGTGTAGGAGGGCCGTTTCTATGAAACGGAAATCACATATGCAGTAATTTGAACTTTCTCTTGTGTGATATCATATGTTGTGTCTGTAGGTTGAATGTGTGCATATAGGAGTGGCAAAAATTATTCAACCTGCAATTTTTGAATATAACACTTGGTCTTTCTAAAGAGGAGGTTTTGCGCATGGGAAGAGAGGAGGGATGGGTGGCGGGGGGACGTCTTTAAAAATTATATCTAATTGGGAATTTATATATTTAACTAAATTTTTCTGCTGTATCAATCACATTAGATTTGAACTTAGTAACACTTGCTGCATACTACAACTTTAAAAGTTGTCGTTCGTAAGCCCAGCTGATCGTGGTCATCAAGCTTCATTTTTAGTTCGTGCATATTCTCTATTTGATTAGAAGCAAGGAACCTGTTGCCTAAAACAATTTCTTATTCTGCATGATGTGCAGTTCCAATTCATATGCAGAGAGACTTGTTGCTTTTGCATGTGTTGAAGGAATCTTCTTCTCCGGAAGGTAGCGTGCACTCACACTCTTTTTCTTTCTTGATTTTTTATTTATATGTTAAGGATTTTTGTCATGATGAGGTTTGGTACAACCTTCTTTTGTTTTCTTCACCTTTTTCCCTTTTGTTTATTGTTCATTTGTAGTTCACAGCTTCTGTGCCATATTCTGGTTTAAAAAGATGGTGCTAATGCCAGGTTTGACATTCTCGAATGACCTTATTTCCATAGATGAGGGCCTCCACTGTGATTTTGCTTGTCTTCTGTACAGGTAATTCATGTTTTTTTTAATAGGGAATTTGTTGCCGGAATCCTTGATCTATTACTTTTAGTCCCCGCAGGATCAGGGAATTCAAGAAATTTGATAGAATAATTTCAATAACCAAATGACAGATGCTTCTTTTGTTGCTATTGACTATAGTTTGTTACGGAAGCAATTACCTTGGCAAAAAGTTCATGGCATTGTACATGAAGCTGTCGAGATTGAGACCGAGTTTCTTAGTGAGGCCCACCCATGTGCATTGATTGGCATGAACTCAGATCTTATGAGCCAGTACATAAAATGTGTTGTTGATCGACTCTTGGTATATCTCTGATGATTTGTTCCTTTTTTTTTTTTCTTTTTTTTTTCTTCTTTCTTTCTTTCTTTCTTTCTTTCTTTAATTCCTAGAGAAATAGGGGACTTGTGTTTAATTGTTATAGTTTTTCCTAGTGTTACATATCAATATGAATGTAATAGAATATACTTTACCTTCCAGGTTGCTTTAGGGTAGAGGAAGTACAAAATAACCTTATTTATATGATAATGAATAATGATCTAGCATTTTCCTTTACAAAATAACCTTATACAATCAAGTGTTTTCTTTTACAAAATATCTTTATAAGTTCGTTCACAAGACAGACTTGAAAAAATAGATGATAAGAAACAAATATAAGTGCAATAATCAGGCAATACCACAACACTACAATGGCAATACGATGACAATACAAATGCAATAGGGGAGCAATACAATGGCAATACAACAACTCCACATTCCCACTATAATTTCATTCGACATTCCCACTATATATTCATAATCTACAACATATTACAAAAAGGATGCGATGTCCTTAATGGAATCACATTTTACGCTCCTATATTGTCAAAATACCCTCGAGCAAGGAACGGTAGAGAGACTTCTGTAAAAGTTGAACTTGAAGGTGGATTAGTTACTGGCCAAAGGCTTCTTAGGAAATTATTTTCCTTTTGCTTCTTTTGGTTAACATTATCATGATATTTTGACAGAAAAGATGAAGTGAGCCATATTTTGTAAATAATGCATGTTTTAGTTTAAGGGTTGAAACAAAAAACAGCTTAATTTGGTCCGTGATTAGTGATTCCATTAAGGATGTCACATCCTTTTTATAAATCAAACTCATAGTTGCCTCCCTTGCAACAAATTATATTAATTAAGAAAATCAACCCAAAATCCAAGCTCCACTCCATTGTAATGTGATCGGTGCATATTTACATATTATTTTGTACCCTTTTAACTTATGATTTGGTTATGTTTTTGAGTTAAACTTGTGCTTTTAATAAGTTTTGTGTTTGTTTCAGTGTTATAAGCTTGAGACTCACTAATTGCATTTTGGAGACAAATTAGCTCAAAACGGTGTCTGCAGATCAGTCAACTTCACGGATTGGACTGTACTTGCTCAAGAAGAACCAGATGATGAGCCATACATCATTGGAAAGATACGGAAGTCTAGTTTCTGTAGAATTTTACGGTTCATGATTCCGAGTCTTCTAGAGAAAGTTATACATGTTTTGGCAACTTAAGGTCAAATTCGGCAGCATCTGCGTTACTGGGCCAAAAATCACATTTGAAGGGCTTTCCGATTTTTCCTTGAG